CCTATCTTTATCTTTTTCAACCATGTGTTCCTTTTCATACCCATGGCCTCACAGGGGCTGGGACCCTCATAACCCCATAGACTGGTGCTGGCGGATGCCTCCCTCCCATCTCTCACCTCTCGGGGCCTTTGTGCACACCACAGCCAGATGACGCTTCCTAAAATACCACAACTCTGCCAGCCTCCTCAAATTTCTACCTGCCCCGTCAAATATTTAACTGGCTCCACACTGTCCCAGATCAAATGCAAACTCCTTAGCTTAGCAACTCCGGCACTCCCCAACTGACTCCCGGGACTGAGGCACCCCCCACTCACTCTGTCTACTCTGTGGCTGGTCTCCAAACTCAAGGCTGACTGTACCCCTGAACTCTGCTTTTGTTCCAGGCAGTGCCCAGAATGGCCTCTCCTTGACTGCACCCCACCCTGTCCTTCTGCCTGGGCAAAGTCTCGCCGGGCATCACACCCAGCCCCCACCCAAGCTGCCTGTGGGCTGAAGTGGTCTGCAGGGCTTCCTGGAGGAAGTGGAATGCAGGCCAAGCAGACAAGTTCCCCATGCTAATTAAGCCTTTTCTATACTATGTCCTTCCTGCTGCATTCAACGTTTTGGAAGCATCCTGTGTCGCTTTCTGGATTAGAGGACAGGGATTATGGCTATTTGTGTCCCTTACTAACTCCAGTACGCAGGATAAGACTTAATAATCACAGCTGCCACCTACTGTGTGCCAAGCACTGGATTAAGTGCTTACAATTTTCCCCATCTTTCTCCCGGTATCCCTATAAAATGTTACCCTCATGCTACAGATCAAGAAACTGAGATCGAGGGAGATGAGAACCCCCACTTCAGATCACAAGCTGAGTGGCAGATGCAGGACTCCAACCCACACACGCCCAACTCCAAAGCCCATGTTCCGAGGAGCAGGCAGCAAACAAAGGGCAACCACTCTCAGCTCTGACCACACATTCACTCTCAGGCGACCAGTGCAAGGTGTGGGGTGGTTAGTGGGAACCAAAGAGACAAGGGCCCTGCTGTCACGGAGCTCACATGCTCTGTCCCCGACTCTCTTCTTCCAGCCTGGGAAGAACGCAAGGACTCAGTTCACAAGGGGCTCCACCAGGCACAGACAAGGCATCCAAACCGGAGATAGACCGCATCAGGCTGTGACAACACGCAGTGTCCCGTGCACAGGGAGCCTTTATTTGGGGTGAAGTAGAGCCTCGGGCTCTATCAGGGAAGCTCTTCGTTCACGGTTCCCGCTAACCACCCCACACCTTGCACTGGTTCAAGGCCAAGCAAACTCTGGCAGGCAGTCAGGAGTAGAGGAAAGGGGTCTATATCTGGAGTCAGAAAACCCAGTTCCTCCACTTAACAGCTAACAGAGGGACTCACCACATACCCTTTGAACACTGTCTGAATGTGGTGATAAGGATAATAATAATGAGTATATAATTACATGCCAGATGCTGTTGGAAGGACTTCACGCGTACGGTCTCACTTAATCCTCAAAACAAGCCTTATGAGGAGGTCCTGTTATTATCCTAAGGCAGTCTGGCTCTGTGTCCTAACTGCTTATACTGTGCTGCCTCCCTCCGAAGGCTGAGCCGTCCTTGTGGGGCTGAGGCACGGATCCTCCTAGCAGAGCAGAGTTCACGCATGTGGCTGGTGCCCTAAAAACGTACATCTCCACCTCCTTACATGGAAACACAACTCTCTAAAAGCTTAGGTTTAGAAATGGCATCGCTCTAGCTGGTCCTAATGTGGGTGACCTTGCAACTGCATCCTCTGGCCTTCCACGCCCCACTCTCAATGCTGGGATCTGCTGCAAAGAGCAACGGGCCCAGATCCTGTGCTACGGACCCTTCTGCTCACAGCTTCTGAGACACAGAATGAGTGTCCAGCACAGGAGTCAGAGGGACCTAGCTTTGAGTCCCAGGCACGCCACTCACATGGGTCACTCAACCTCTCAAGCTTCAGGTTCTGTGTAAGTAAAATGGGGGAGGAGGTATCATCTAAGCCACGTTTCTGGATCACAGTAGATCCTCCATCAGTGGCAGCTACGCAGGTCAGAAGGGCAGGACTCCCACGGCGCCACAAGGTTACACTTCCGGGTACGAGGGCTGCTGGTGCGCAGAGGAACAAACAGGCGGTGTGCGGTGCAATTCGCTTCCACAGTTACGGCAGCGGGAAGAACAGACACACTCCCAAAGGTCTGGGGGTGAAACCTGGCACAAGCCCCCACTTTCTCTTAAATCTCCTGCCACGTCTCATGCAAATGGCTTGCCCTCCCATCAACAAGGCTCTTCCCCCTTAAATTTAGGTAAGAGCGACATTCCCCCCGCAACAATGTAAGCTGTGGAGGGATGGACCCTTGTCTTGTTCATCATTGCGTCAACATAAAGCTGTGCAGAGAAGACACTTAACATACACAAAATTAACCTTATCTTGTAGCTTCCGGGACCCCCGCTAAGGTGCCTCTGTATTTGCCTATTGGCCAGCATTCCCCAGCCTGGGAAGCAGGAGTCTCGACGGTCTATGTACCTGCCAGGCTCCCATCTCTCTGGGCTGTCAGTCACGGGTCCTCTTCTCTCCCCCATGGAATATAAAAGCAGCACTGGACTTCCGAGTTATAAATAGGAATATCTGCTTTCAAACTATAATTTATCATCTCAGTCTCAAGCTATCGATTGTTGGCTACCTTCTTCAAGCATTCCACCGAAAAGGCTAGTTGGGTTTAAATGAACCAGGCTGTATGTAGTGTGGGGTCTGGGCTGAACGGTCTCTCATCCACACCAGGAGCCCAGCCAAGATGCATCAGTGTCAACTAAATTGTTTCACCTTGCAACAATGCGACAGGCTTCTCCTATCAGCTCCTGTCAGGCAAAACCATCTGTGAGCTGGAGCACAACTCCTGAGGGGGTCTGCCTGTCCTTTCACCACTACAGCTCCACCAGCTGGCACGGGACTCAGAACTCTTAAGTTAGATCACTCACTGGGCACCTGAGTGGCTCAGTTGGTTAAGCGACTGCCTTCGGCTCAGGTCATGATCCTGGAGTCCCGGGATCGAGTCCCACATCGGGCTCCCTGCTTAGCAGGGAGTCTGCTTCTCCCTCTGACCCTCTCCCCTCTTGTGCGCTCTCTCTCTCTCACTCTCTCTCTCTCAAATAAATAAATAAAATCTTAAAAAAAAAAAGTTGAAACACTCATTCCCGAGTTAGAAGCTACAGCTGTGTAAGGAAAAGTGCTCTGAAACTGTAAAGAGTTTACAGCGGTAAGACTGTTACCTACTAAGGGAATGCAGGCAAATAAATTTCATTTGCCTGTGCACTTAACTGAAGCCAACAAAAATCAGGAATTTACTCCAAAGTCCAACACATTTCAGATTCTCAAACTGCTATTTCCCTCCATGGATAACAGAGAGCTAGCTGTTTTCTCTACCATCAAACCTACTGAAAATAAAAACCACACTGGCCTTAGTTCATTTACCTACTGTACAACCCCACACCACCACTCGTGTCCCAGCGCAACTGTCTAGTCTGGATTATTAGAGTATCCATGTAAGGGATCAATTTGACAATAAGCAGTCAGAAATTACTTATAAGCCTAGGGGATACTAAGAACAAGTTACTGAGAGAACAAGTATGAAAATCAAAGCGGCTGAGTTCACGGACATATAGACACCCCAAAAAAGAGCACTCCAAGCCATTTCCTTCAGTGTCAGGTGATGTTCTAGGCCCCAGGGGTGCAACCATGGAAAACCCAAAAGAAAACCCCCTGCCCTCAACGAGCTCATGCCCTGGCCCGGAGCCAGATACGCCTCTACCACCATCTGACTATTGCACTGCTAGGCGAGATCTCTTATGTAAAGGACCCAGAACACAACCAATAGTCAGTAAACGCGGCTTCTCCCTTGCCATCCCTGAGTACCCCATTATTCTGTTTTCTAAACAGTGTCCTTTCTATCTTCGCCATAGAAGCAGCCTGGGACAATGGGGAGGATGGAGGTTAGAGCCTGCCAGATGTGCTTTCACCGACCGAGCAACACCTTAAGTTACTCCATGTCCTAAGCAGCAGCTTCACCTGTAAAAGGAGGACAGCAACTATCTCCAAGGGTTCTATGCGGGTTAAAGGAGCTCATACAGGTGGACTGCTCAGCATGGTGCCAGGCACCCAGCAGTCCTCAAGAAATGTTAGACCTTTTCCTCCACCCCTTCCACAGTTTTCAGACTGTCCAAATAAAACCCAAATACAGGACTCCTGAGAAGCATAATATGTCACTGTCCTCCTCCTGGGTCATGATGGGCATTTCCCATTACCTTTGGAGAATGAGGACTAAGCCAAGATGCCCCTCCCTGCCAGATACGCTGCCCTAAGCAGTCCCACCTGGCCACTGGATCCACATTGTCCTGCTTTTGCCCTAAGATCAAATTTATAAAACCTCACTCCACTTTCACAGTTCACACCCAAAACTGTCCTGGAGTACTTCCTCACCCAGGCCTGGGGTGGGGCCACCTCCAGACAACACAAACATTGTAGAAGTCCAATAGCATTAAAAATGGCATAAGCCACATTTTAAATCAATATGCAGGAAGGCAGCAAGAAAAAACTTAGCCACTCTTAATTAGTCATCCTGGTTCAGCAGCCACAACACTTCATTAAACAAGAAACTGAGATCCTCAAAACACTTCGGGGCCCAAAGTTCACATGCAAACACTTGCCAGCACTGAGCAGAAGGAGCAGGTGGATGGCCTGAGCTCGGTTAGCCCATCTCCAAAGGTTCCTTGACCATGTAAGGCAGAAGCCCTCTGGCCCTTCCAATCTGGGTGGTGAGCCTATCCTGCAGAAGGCTGCAAAGTGGAGGTAAGTGAACTTGTGGAGGCCTAGGTGAAACCTCAAGCCACGCAGAGAACCTAGAGCACAGGCCGTCATTATCAAAACACCACGAGCGGAACTAGCTGGCTCGCTCGCTCTCTCATGCTCTCTCTCCTTCTCGGAATCTGGCTCACCTGATCCGAGGCACCTCCATAATCAGCAGTTCCAACCCTCACGAGCTGACAGTTCAGGGGGAAAGGGAGGCTGCGCCTGCTGGGGTGCATTGTGTCCAGGCCCTATGTTGGCCTCGCGGCCCAGCGGCCCCCCCAAGGGCTGCAGCCTCACAAGGGCGATTGTGCGTTCATTCCTGTCCTGTCGGCTCCCCCCACCCTCATCTCTCGGCTCCCACTCAGGCCCCAGCACGACGCCCCGCAGGCACCGCACCCTCGGCAAGGAGGCAGCGGCCGCGGAAAGGGCCTGCAGAGCGCCGCGCTGCCTTCCTGCCTTCCGGGCACACAGGTGCCCGCCCTTCCCTCGCTCGCTCCAGGCGGCCTCCCCAAGAGGAGGCAACCCTCCACCTGCCAAGGCTGTGCCCCGGGACCACCCTCCTCCTCCCCCGGGCAGGAGAGCTCCCCTCGCTTCCCAGAGGCGGCAAAGGTTCTCCCGGGATAGAGGGGAGGGACCACACGGGTCAGAGGCAGGGCAGAGAGCAGGGCCCTGGAAGGAGGGTAGAGCCCGGGACCGAGGGGAGCTGACGCAGGTTACACTAAGAGCGGTGAGAAGTCTGGGGAAGTGGATGGCGGGGGTTAACGTCCAGGCCAGGGCCGCGGGCGGAGGAAGGGAGGTCCAGACCAAGGCCAAGGGGGAAGAGAAGATTCAAGCTGAAGCCACGGAAGAGCGGGGAAACAAATCTAGACTGAGGCCACTGGAGTAGGGGCTGACTGGGGTCCAGACTGAAACCATGGAGAAGAAACGGAGAGGAACAGAGGCCTAACCCGAAACGCAGGGAGGGGAGCCCAGCCTGGGCCACGGGAGGGAGAAACGACGGCCTACCCCGGCCGTGGGGACGGGGAAAGGGGACCTAGCCCGGGCCGTGGGCAGGAGGAAGGGGGACCGCCCCCTGGGTGAGCGGAGGGGGTGCCTGGCATGGACCACGGTCCAGGGGGGGTCTAGCCTGGGCTATAGGGCAGACTACCCTGACCGACTGGCGGACAGTGGGACTCCAGCTTGAGCCAAGGGCGGGGGCTGGGAGAGGGGGGCAGGGTCGCTGCCCAGACCAGCGGCCGGTGCCGGCAGCCCCCTCCTGAGACGGCAGCGAAGGTGTCCACCTGGGTCCGGGACCCCACCCCTCCCCCACCCGGGGGACCCACCCTTGCCCGGGCCCGGGGCTAGGGGTGGGGGGAGGCGGGGACAAGGGAGACGAGAGCTCCGGCGGGGCCCCCCGGCCTGGGAGAGAGTGACGTCGGGCCTTTACCATGGTGGCGGCGGCGGCGGCGGTCCCGGTCCCGGCGTCTGTGGCTCTCCCCCCAGCAGCAGGGCCCGGCGCTTCCACTTCCCCGGGTGCCCAGGAGTGAACATCCGGGTCAGCGCCCCCCTCCCCCCGCGCCGGGCCGCCGCCACCTTCCTTCCCCGCCCCGGCCGGGCCCGGGCCCGCCCCCACGCACCCGGTTCTCGGCCAATGAGCGCGCAAGGCCGCGGCGATCGCCAAGTATGGAGCGCCGCGCGGGGGGAGGAGCTCCGAAGGGGGAAGTGTGGGGCGGGGCCTGCAAGCGGGGCGGGGCGGGGCGCAGCGGCCGGAGGGGTGGGCGGGCCGGCCCGGGACGCAGGGACTGGTCGGGGAGGGGGGGCTTCCGCCCGCCCCTACGCCCCACCTCGGGCCCTGGGGCTGCAGAGCGGGGGGGGGGGGGCGCCGGGCCCGTGCGCGCGGACGTCCCGGGCGCGGACGCGGAAGGCTCTGGGGCTGGGAGGGGTCAGGCCCTGCCCTCCCCGCCCGGTGCACGCGCGCTCTCCCGCGCGGACCCGGAACTGGTGCTGCCGCGGGGCGGGCGCATCCCGGAGAGAGCGGCAGCGCGAACCCGAGGTGGGGTCCCGGCGCTGCCGCTTGCTACATGGAGGACCGGGAGCAAGACGCCGCACCGGAGCCCCATCCCTAAAAAAGGCGTCTCGGGCCACTCCACGCACTGAGCAGCCACCATATACCAGGCCTTGTTGGAGGCACCGAAAGAAAGCAGAGGTGCACAGGACGGGAAGATGCCCCCAGAGCTACCTGCTGCAGGATAGCTGTGTGGCTCGCACAGGTAGAGATTAGAAAACTGGACCAATAAATGCTAGGCGTTTGCGAGATGTGCTACAGAGAACCAGCGCATTTGCCCAGTGGGGCTGCCTCACTCCACAGAGTGACTCTTTTTTTTTTTTTTTTTTTTTCCTTTTTCCTCTCACTCTCTCCATTCAACACATAGCCGTTGAGCTTGGTCTAGAAGGCAGGAGAACTGGGATTTTAAGCCTTGCTGGTAATACCTACCCTGCCTGGCTTGTTCACTCTCTTTTGTGAGAATCAAATCAGGTCACCTGTGAGGGGATTGTAAACTGTAAAGGGTTGCACAAATGGCGGAATTATGGCCACACACCCGTGTCCTAGGCCCCCCCATCCTCAGTCAAATAAAAACTGCCAGGGGCATAAAAATCGATACAAGTAAGTGTTTAAGGCTTGTGTTACCGGAATTCAGAGAAGAGAGTGGCACTTAGGAATTCTTGCACTTGGTAAACATTTATTGAGCACCTGCTGTGTCCTGAGCACTCTTCTGGGCTCTAAGGATAGAGCAGTGAATTTGACAGTCCCAGTGCATGCTTTTGCAGAGCTTGAACTGTTGGAGGGGAGACCATCAGCTGTGAAGTAAACATAGTGTCAGGTGGTGATTAGAGATGTGGAGGGAACTCACAGTGAGGGAATTGGCCTGCAGATTAGGGAAGTGAGGCCCCCGGGAGGCTAATTTAGAAAGTAACATTTGATCAGAGGAAGGACAAGAACCAGCAAGGGCACAGACCCAATGGGGACAGTCCCTGGTGTGTTCATGGGTAATAGCTGCAGAGGGGGGCAAGGGAAAATCCCATTCTGGATATTGGCTGATGGCTTGGTGGTGGGTTCGAGAAGGAAGGAGTCAGGCATGATGCTAAGATGATCAACACCGAAAAGATTTGCCATTTATTGGTCTATGGAAGATTGTAGGAGAAGCAGGATCTGGTTTGGTTTTGTTTTGGTGGGGGAGGGTAAGAGGCAGTTTGGGGCAAGTTCTCTGAGATGCCTATTGGAGGTTCAAATCGAAATGTCTAGTAAGTAATCGGACATGGAAGTGTATAGCTGGGGAAGAGGTTGGAGTTGCTATAAGAACTGTCAGCTAATAAATGCTATTTTAAGGTACTTAAGGTGCAAGATAGCTAGGTGAGTTGACTTAGGAGATGAATTTAGAGAGAAGAGGTAAAGGTGGTAAAGAGGGACCAGCAAGGAGACGGAGAAGGTGTGACCTGAGAGGTAGGAAGAGGACCAAGAGAAGGTGGTATCCCTCCTTGAAGGCAGGGGATCAGGGCATGAGGGAAAGGTTTGGGAAAGAAATAACCCTGAACTGCTTATTTGTAGAAAATAAGATTGACAGGGAACCTTGCCGTTCAAAATGCATTACCTGTATATTCTCATCTAATCCTCACTGTAACCTTGTAAGGTCAGTACTATTAGTCCCATTTCACAGATGAGGGAACTTAAGTCACTTGCTCGAGATCACTTAACTAATGAGTTCAAAGCCAGCCAAAGCCCACATTCATAACCCTAGGTCTGATCCCATTGTTTCCCTGCACGGAGTCCCTGCCCCTGCTCTGAAAGTTAAGTTATATTATAGAAGAGGGCAGGCTACACCATCTCTCTCATGCAGCCCCACTTCTGCTTCTTTGGATGCATCTGCTATGTTCCTTCTTTGCGGTCCTTCATCCTCAGCTTGCTTATAGCCCTGTTCCCTCAACATTTCAGCCTGCTTGGGGTCCATCCTGGTGGTCTCTGTCCCTCTTTCTCTGCATCAGCTTGCTCTTTTAAATGGCAAATTATTTTTGTGTTTCATAGTTCAAATCCCAACAGAATCCAAGACAGACAAGCACCATAAATATTTTTAGTACAGTTTCTCCTCCCCTCCTCTTTCAAAAACCCAACCCTCCCTTGAAGTTCATGCTATAGTATTTTCCACCTGCCACCCTTCCTTTTTGCTCTCATGAACTAACCTCCTCCCCTCCAGTACCTTTTTTTATGACTTCAGCATCCATATGCATAATCCATCAGAAATAGTATTGACTCCCCACTGATTTCTTCCCTACCAATGAGTTTTTCCTTCCTTCCACCCTGCGTATCCACTCCCAGGGTCTTACCCTGGACTTGCTCTAACCCAAAATTGCACTGTCTCAGAAAACTCCATCTCAAATATCTCAAGTCTGACTTTAACCTCATTACTATAGTACCACTTGCAAGCATTTCTTCAACCTCGTCAAGCCCTGCAAACCTTTGACCCTGCCAGATCCTTGTATTTATCCTCCCTCTTATGCTCACTTCCCTCCTCACCCAGCTTAGTAATGATCACTACACTCACTTGCTTGCAAAAACCACTAACCCTTTGCCCCTCTCTTTTCCTCTAACTTGTGCAAACCTAGTTAAGCCCCGCTAGTCCCTCTACACTCTGCCTGCATCGGAACATCTGAACATCGCTGGGAAATGGAAGGTGACCGGTGTCACTTAATTTGATGTCCACAGATTTCAAATGAGCCCTGGCTAGCAATCCTCTAATTCCGCACTGTATTCAGTTCCCCTTGTTACCCTGCAAGGGTGATCTTTCAGTCTTCCGCCCCGGTCCCCTTCTCATGCTTCACTCGAAGCAGATGCGCTTGCCTCATACTTCATAAACATGACAGAATCCATCAGAACCCTCTGCTCTACCACCTGTTGCGCACCTACGTTCTCCGCCTTCCGGCTTTTGAATGAAGGGTTTGTGCACCTATCAGAGCTGACGCCTCCACTTGCACCCTGGATTCCTCCTTCCTTAAACATCAGTGTCTCCCTCTGTACTGGATCATTCCCACCTGCTTAACATAACACGCTCCAATATCTTGTATCCTAAAAAAAAAAAAAGTTTCAACAACAAAAATCTCCTTGATCCCACGTCTCCCTACAGCCACCTCCCCATTTGTTTGCTCCTCGTCACATCAAAATGTTGTGAGAGTTCTCTGTAGCTGCTGTTCTCACATCAGCTCCAATTTCTCAAATCAG